TGGTTAAATAGAAAGTCCTGCGAAAATTCATGAAAGAAAATTTTAAGTTTGTGAAATTTTCTGAATTACAAATCTACTAAGATTAGACAATCTGTTCAGTCACTTAAACATGAACAACGCATTTCAGTTGTGAAATACAAGTTTTGTAAACTATGCATTTACATCATATACAATATCCACATGAATGATTTTTCACACACAGTAGCAAAGACTTTGGAATATAGTGCTAGACCTACCCTCCTGACCTTCGAAGCGTTGCAAATTGAACATTGCGCGGCCCGCTTGTAGTTGATGGCACGTGTGGGAAGTGAATAGTCGAAGCTCATGTGTGTTAACGTGCGTTTACGTTGGTTTTTAGTGAAACATTATGGTCAGTTCATGTGCAGCATTGGGTTCTACGAATCGAAATACGAAGAATTCTAAAACGTCCTTCACCAGTAAGTATATGTGAAATGTCTAACTTATATAATAGTTTTCTTGTAAGAATGCGAAACTCATTCACCGAATGAATTGAAAATAATATTTGTGATGTACATATTGAGAATTGTATGTAAAACCGATATTATGCACTTTTACAGATTCCCGCTGAACAATTAACTCTTATTACGGAAGTGATAAAATAGTGTGAAAAGAATGGGTTACTATCGATTGTGTGCTGATCATTTCACTCCAAGTGATTATTGGATTGGTGGAGAAAGGGGAAATTTAAAACCTAATTCTGTACATTCTGTTTTGAACTTCCCTAAACACTTACAAGCTAAGGTATATGCATTTCATAAGTGTTGATATTGTAACGAATATTGCATCACATGCCGGAATTCGTTGCGCGCGGATTGCGTCATCTGCCTTCCCCCCCTCCCCCCGAACTAGACGGTTCCGGACTATCCGCGAGCCGCGGGAAACGCCGAGAATGTGCCGGGTGCCTGGAGACAAGCGCCGGGCAGGTATAAATGCGCCGCTGCCGGCGGCCGCGAGTCAGTTAGTAGAAGACGTGAGTAGAAGTCAGTGGGTAGTAAGACGTCAGTGACTGGCAGAGAAGCAGTCAGTCCGTCAGTGTGTCCGAAGTGGAAGCTGTGCTGTGAAATGTGAATTGCGGTGAAGAATGGTGCAGCGGTTGAACGGCAGTCAGCAGTCTGAAGTCTGAAGTCTGAAGTCTGCAGTGAAAGCTGAGCTGTGAACGGTGCATCGCGGTAAGCAGTGGTGCAGTGGGGAAACAGCAGTCAGCAGTTTGAAGTCTGCAGTGGAAGCTGAGCTGTGAAGTGAGCATCGCGGTAAACAGCAATGCAGTAGACCCTGGTGTGCGCAGTGAAGTGTGGTCTGCGCAAGGAATTGTGGTCTGCGCAGGGGAATTGTGGTCTGTGCAGGGAATTGGGTCAAGTGCAGTGGACCGTGGACAGAGCATCGGACTGGCTGATACAGAAGATGAGAACTGTGTAAATAAATAGTGTGTAAGGAGTGAACTGTGTAAATAAATCATCAAGAGAACGGAATCGTGTGTAAAGAAAAATAATTAATTGTAATATATCTGTAAATAGACCAAGTAGATTTTAGTGTATGATTGTTCACGAATAAACGTTCTTTGTTTAAATAATATTGTGTTGGTTTTAATTCACCACGGAGGAACGTTACAATATAAACGGCATTTAATATGAACTTCAAACCTAAACAGATGTTTCTAGTTTCTGACGTTATGAATTATATGGTTAATAGGTGAACTTATTTTTTTATGTACGCAATTTCAGGAAAAGGTGCATCGCAGGGAACTACAGAAGCAAATGGTAGACAGTACCAATTGAGAGATGATTGTACATCAAGTGCTCCTGTTCTTAAATACAATTATACATTTAGTAGCAGTCCATCACAGGTCAGAGATAAATTGGAGAAAGTGAAAGATAGCGAAGTATTGTGGATGGAATTAGGACTAATTTAGCTTGTAAAATTTCCAAGTGCAACAGACAAACAAAGAAGATTGAAGAATTGTCATAAGTACCGAAGAATCAAAGTTGAAAATCTTGAGAATGAATGGACTGCTGGCATTCTGCAGGACAACTTCGGGGCAGTGTTCACTAAAATGCTGAAACATTTCCTTTCGTCTTCCAACCAAGCAGCATACAGTGAAAAACTTAAGAACACTACAGAACATTCACTACATTTTTTTATTTCCCTGCGACATACAATTATGTAAGAGAAACTTTTAATGTTGCAATATCACACGAAAAAAACACTGCACAAGTGGTATAACTCGGTAGAAGACAACCCCGGACGTCACGTATGAAGCACTTGCAGCTATAAGAGAAAAAGCAGAATTAAGTAAACATCAAATATATGTTAACATTGTATTTGATGAATATCTATCAGACAAAGAGTTGACTGGGATGGAAGTAAATTTATAAGGTTTGTAGATATGGGTGATGGAATATAAGTATGTGACAAGGAATACGTTGAAGCGAGAGAAGTGCCTGTAGTCATAGTTGTGTATAATAATTGCTCATGGAAAGTTCTCATTGCGTACTTCCTGTCTAGTGGCATGGAGGCAACTGTGAAGGCTTCAATAGAGAAACAATGAATGTTAGTGTTGCACGAGTGTAATGTTACCTTTGTGGGTGTAACCTTTGATGGTCAATCAAGTAATGTTACTACGGCTGCACATTTGGATGAAAAAATATCAATTATCGATTTGAAGCCTTGGTTTTCACATGTAACAGACGAGAGAGTGTATATTTTATGTCCGTCACATGATAAAATTAATTAGAAATACATTTATCAGAAAGTTTTGTGCGATCATACATTATTTGGCAGTACATATTACAATTGAACACTATTCAATATGAAGAAACTAACTTTGGCAAACAAATTGAAAAACCAAAACATTCAACACAAAAATCAAAAAATGAAAGTGTACTTGGCTACCCAAGTCTTGAGTTCATCTGCTGGGTCAACATTAAATTTCCTTTGCAAGGATTTAAAATTAGAGATGTTTCAGGGAGATGAAGCAACTGCAGATTACTGTACATTTTTTGACCTTTTTTTGTAATTCTAGAAACCAGTTGGCAAAAGGTAATAAATGTGTGTTAAAAGGTTTAAACAGGATCTCTTGGAAACCTTTCATGGAGGAAGTAGAGATGAATTTAATGGGGTACAAAGATCGTAACGGAAGGCCTTTGTATGAAGGCCCTCGAAAAACTGGTATTTTGGGCTTATTGATATTAATACAGTATATTAGAGGTATTTTTGGAGATTATGCTAGACTAGAAAATTGAATGTAGCAAAGTACATATTCAGCCAAGATCACTTGGATATTTTTTCTGCTGTGCGCAACAGATTTGGTTGAAATAACAAGCCTTCAAGAATGCAGTTTAAGAGTACATACTCTAATAAACGATTATTGGTGTGCAATGAAATAAAGAGAAAAAAGAAAGCAAAAGTTGATGTACTAGAAAATGTTCATTTGTTATATTGGTGTAAACCAAAAATTAAAGAAAGAGAAGACTTCCAAGTGTGATGGTAAATGCACCTACGTACACATGAAGTACGTATTGCGTAAGAGAAGCAGTTAATATTTCTTTCAAACTGTACGTGAGAGAAATATCACCCTTCAAACATGTTTAAATTAGGGTCTCGCCTGGAGCAGGCGCCCTGCTTAAGGTCATGGGTGATTGGGCTCCCCAAACCGCCGTCAACGCTAACACGATCCAGACGTGCAAACAGGAATGTTTGGGAACTTGTGAGTTTTCAAAAGGGCAAATGTTCTCTGACAGTAATGTCAGTTTATTGCGTCCAGGGCATGTTGAGTTCTGGCGGGGGTGGTGTAATGGCCTCGTAAATCTCCCTGTTTCCCATATAGGATCCTCTAGCGTTGATATCGGACAGACAGCCCGATGCTCTGCAGCTCTACTTTTCAATTAAACTTCATACTTCGTCAGACTTTGTCTCTATACTTGAAACCACGTTCCTCCGGGGAACTTAGCTTCCCTGCGAACGCAACATTTTTGCATCCTGTACTGGAAATACAGGGTGGCGCAGAAAATCGAGAAAATTTGAAGTTGATGTTGGCAGCCCTGTGGATGTACAATAAGTGGGGAGGTGACGGCAAACTGTCTTGTAGTAACGGACATTTAGTTGCAATGGAGCAGTTGAGTGGTGTGGAGCGTGCGATCGCCGTGAGAGCGTACTAGCGACATGGTGACAGTGTGACCGCTCCCCAGAGTGTTTCGGCGACACTATGGAATCCCGCCCCGTGGTCAAATTCCTTCTCCACATGCAACCAAAACGTGGGTTCGTAACTTTGAAGAGAAGTTCGGCCATGAAAAAAAACCTTGCGGGCGTGTATTGTCTGTACGTACCCCAGAAAACATTGATGCTGTGCAAGCTGCAGTGGTGAGGAGTCGTCGTTCGGTGCAAAAAATTGCCTCGTCATTAAGGCTCTGGCGTCGGAGCGTGAAAAGACTACTCCACGCCCTTAAATTTCATCCTTACGAGCTTCAGATTGTTCAAAAACTTAAACCTAATGATTCTGTATTGCGCCAACAATTTTGTGAAAAACTGTCGGCTGAAATCAATGAGGATGCACACTTCATTGAAAATCTTTGGATGTCAGATGAAGCCCATTTTCATCTAAGTGGATCTGTCAATAAGCAGAACATGCGTTACTGGGCACAAACAAATCCTGCTCAGCTTCACCAGCGACCATTACACAGTGACAAAGTTACTGTATGGTGTGCTGTGTCGTGTCGCGGGGTGATAGGCCCTTACTGTTTTGAAGATAAAGAGGACTCCGCTTTCACTGACGTCTCAACGTTATGTCAACATGCTAGAGACATTTTTGGCCCCAAGGCTTTATTCACTACCAAATCTTGACATTCAGCACCCCTGGTTTCAACAGGATGGAGCCACCTTACACACTGCACGGCAGTCCATAGCAGCAGTAAGACGGTTGTTTGGGGATAGGATTATTTCAAAGAATGCTAACATTCGGCAGATCACTCAAGTCGTGAACGTGATCAGGATAGTCTAAATCTACCTCTAAAACATCCGCGGTTCTCTAGACCAGCGGCCTCTTTGACATTGAACGTTTGAAGTTCATCAGGTGTCAACCAACTGAACCGTCCTGTCGGTAGAGGGTAACACATGGCATACACAGACAAATTATTTGCATCAACAAAGGAGAGGTAGGAATGCTTATCAGAAGGCTGATAAGAGTCCTCAAGGTCCGACACTTGTACATGTCCGCCGCGAATGCCCCGCTCGAAAAAGAGAACCATGTCAATGTCTGTTAGTAATTCGAGTTGAATGCCAGTTGTTGTCAACATGGCATCCCACGATAGTCCTGGAGCACTGTAATAGAAGGTTGGATCTATACCGTAGACTTCAAGACATTTTTCTAAAAAGTTCGAAAATGTCCATGTGAAGCAAGACATCAACCTTCAAATACAGGTCGGCATATTCTCCTAAAGTTTGTAATTCAAATGTGCGCCACACTTCATGCGCGTGTGCATAATCAGCGTGCGTTTGTGAGCAGACTGACAAATGCACTCGCCGCCGGCATGATGCCTCCACAGCTGCGTGAATAAAGACACGTGCGAGTGGCGTGATGCCTTTGCCATCGCAACTGACATTAACAAAAATAATTAAACTCTAATGGAACGTGGAGAGAGGGGTGGTTGTTACTATTGTAACGTGTCTCGTGGCGAAATAAAACTCACTGGTATTATTTAAACAAAAACGTTTATTCGTGAACAATTATACACTAAAATCTACTGACACTACAAACTACTTGGTCTTTTTACAGATATATTGCACTTAATTATTTTTCTTTACACACGACTGCGTTCTCTTGATTATTTATTTACACAGTTCACTTCTTACACACTATTTATTTACACTGTTCTCTTCTTCTACCGTATCACCCAATCCGATGTACTGTCCACGGTCCACTGCGCAGATCAGGGTCCACTGCACTGCTGTTTACCGCGATGCACACTTCACAGATCAGCTTCCACTGCAGACTTCAAACCGCTAACTGCTGTTTCCCAACTGCACCACTGTTCACCGCAATGCACACTTCACAGCACAGCTTCCACTTCGGACACACTGACAGACTGACTGACTTCTCTGCTACTCACTGACTCGCGGCCGCCGGCAGCGGCACATGCCCGGCGCTCGTCTCCAGGCACCCGGCACATTCTCCGCGTTTCCCCGCGGCTCGTGAATAGTCCGGAACCGTCCAGTTCAGGGGGAAGGGAAGGGGCACCGGCAGATGACGCAAACCGCGGGCGAATTCCGGCAGGTGATGCAATATTCGTTACTCTATGGGCCGAATTCATAGTCGTCACTTATAGGATAAGGGAACCCTTAAGTGATAAGTGCTTTCTCAAAATAAGTGTTCCCTTATATATTTCATAGACGTTCCTTAAGACCGCGGAATGAGTGTTCCCTTAAGTGGAAGGTAAATGTGGCAACGCATTGGCGGCAGCTGTTTTGTAGTTCTTAGCAACCGAGTTTACACACCCACTTTATCTTGTACAAAGAGCGTCGAATTTAACAGGGGGGCGGATACTTCAACGTTGAGTTGACGTCGAGCGCTGCGACTACATCTCTCTCAGTTGTTGTGTTTTCGCGTTAGAGAGTGGTTGTGTCCGCAGTAAGTTCGTAAGTGTGTGGTGATTATTCGAAGTAAACGGAAGTGTTTTCTTTCTTCGAGGTAAGTAAATTGTATGATGAACACATGTAAATAATCGCCAGTACTGTACTTTCTTATAGTGAATGTTATTGTACATGAAGCCTAATGCTTTCTGTAATTTTTGCAGGTAGTTCCTGTAGTTTCTTGAAGTGTATTTGATTTTTCTTCCTCGATTTGCCTTATTATTTCTAGTAAGTTTATTACACAAGCCATTTATGATTATTATTGGGGAGAGTGTTACCATATAGACCTAATGCGTTCTGTATTTTTGCAGGTAGTTCCTGTAGTTTCCTGAAGTGTATTTAATTTATCTTCCTCGATTTGCCTTATTATTTCTAGTAAGTATATTGCACAAGTACAAAGTAGTTCATGAATGTAATTTTTTGTGAAGTTTTTTTTTTAATTTCTTGTTATCAATTTATAATAGTGAATTGTAAATCAGTGTAATATTTCTTTTTCAACTAGTTTAATCATGC